TTTCCATCTGCAAGCTTCCCTCTAGACCATTAAGCTAAGATACTGAATCTGTGATGCAATTACTCTGCTTTTTCTGTCTTGGGAATTTTCCAATCCATCAGTGTGTTAGAGCATAATATTTAGTCTCCAAAAATAATTATGCAAAGTAGCCCAGACCCCACAGTATGCATTTGTTTAATTGCAGTGAAGAGTTTGTTATGAGAAAGCAAATAAGAAATCGCTAATGTGATTTTTACATGTCTTCCACATCTTATTATAAAGACATTGAGGGTATGTCTACACAGTAGCATTATTTTGGAATAACTGACATTAATTCCAAAATAGCAAAGAGCATGTCTACACTATAAGCCTTTATTTTGAAATAATGTCTAACTGGAGGACTTCTTACTCCAACTTATGGTAAACCTCATTTCACGAGGAGTACGGGAAGTTGAAGGAAGAGTTTTCTTCCTTTGACTTCCTGCTGTGTAAACAGTGCCGAAAGCCAAGTAAACCTATTTCAACTTAAACTATGCAGTTGATGTAGCGGAAGCTGCGTAGTTTAATTCAACTTTAGCCATGCTGTGTAGATGTACTCCTAGTTACTATAGATCCCTTAAACGAGGTCTACACTGCAGGGTTTTTTTCCAGAAAAAGATACCCAAATTGCGGTTTGCAATTGGCGTACTTTTTTCCACTTGCTTTTTCGGAAGAGGCTTTTCCAACATTTGGCCCCTCTAACTGAGACCAAATGTTGGAAAAACCTCCTCTTTCAGAAGATCCCTTATTCCTCATAAAATGAGGAATACAGGGATGCCGAAATAATGCGTCTGCATTTTTGGAAACTGTTCCAAAAAAGCGGACGCATTCCCTGGACTTGGTAGAGTTTTAGACTCTGCAATCTTAACAGAGCCTTAGACTGCTCTCCGCTGCCTCTTCACTTCGCGTGGTCCTTAGAATATGTACTAACTACTTACACTAAACTGGTTTTATTTAGTACTTAGCTGTGACTCTCTTAGTACCTTTCAAGGCAGCCCAGGCTGAAGAGGGGGGAGCTGGGTACTTTCTGCCTCGACATGCTGAGAGAAGGGCTCAGACCCCGGCAAACCCAAGCACCCGCTGCTAGCGGATCGGCGCCTGACAGTTACCTGCCCCAGCAGCTTGTACTCCAGCTCCTCCGCAATGTCCGCGGCCAGCCCGCGTGGGATCTCCACTGCCCATTCATTGACAAACTACTTCTGCGCCAGCAGGCGCAGAACAGCACCAGGGCTACAGGGCGCCCAGCCCAGCGGGTCCTGGCCATGGCACGGTGAGGGAGGCGGGAGCAGCCAAACAAGTAGAGGGCAAGGGCCAGGCAGCAGTGGAGCCCTTTGGTTGCTAGGCAGGCAGGGTGCAGCGTCTCCCAGCCAGCGCACCGCGGCTCTGGCTCAGGGCTGAACGGAGCCCAAAGCCTGCCATGCCGGGCTGGCACTGAGTGTTTATACGTCATAACTACGAAAGCCGGCCTGACGACAAGTGCAGCTGGCCCCCAAGCGCACGGGTTATTCCCAAGCGGGGGAGGGTTGGGGGTTGCTAAAATAAGATGGAGGGACAGACGCACATTCAAACAGGAGCAGGAAAAAAAATCCCAACCCAGCCTCTGCTCCGAGGTGAGTCCCCGCTCCCTCGGATATCTTACCAACCTGGTGTCTCCCCTCTCAGCTGTTGCACGGCAGCATGCGCTCCCTCAGATAGTCTCGCCGCCTATGTGAGTGGGTGTAATTTTTTTAGGTTTTGAGAATTTAAATTTTCAAAAGAATAACATTACTGAAAAATACAAACTAAAAGGTTATTTCAAAGAGGAAATATTGAAACTTTCCACTTTAAAATGTCAACACAAAATATTTGGAGGGGTTGGTTAGGTTTTTTTTTTCTTACCTGAACAATTTGGCAAAGCTGACATGAATTTTTGAAATATTTCTATGTTGCTGTATATGCATTGTTTGTCTTGAGAAAATTTACTCAGCCCTGTTCATAACGTATGTACTAACTAGTATTATAATTGTTAGCTACCTCTATTAAACAAACAAACAAACAAGGTTTTGTAGTGTATTGCAACTGTTTTTAAGTCTCAATGAAACTAGAGATAATATTTAGATATATGTATACACACACACACATACACAAATAAAACTTTAAAATAATGATAAATGTATGTAAATGATACGGGCCATAGAAAAGCATCAGAGTATTGCATATTTTCTCTTGGTATCTTGTGAAATCCTAGAGGAGAACACTGCGTAACACTGTGGTGTCCAACCAGTTCTGAAGCAGTAGCCACTCTAGTTCTGAAGCGAACAAGTCACACTCAATCGGTCAAATAGCCACAAGTAGCTAGTGGCTAGAGTGTTATATCTTGCTATCCTGTTTCTGTCAATATTTATTTGCCATGTGTCCAGTATTTAAATGAGAAAGTTTATATGTAACGTACAAAATAGGGATTAAATGCCATTGAACACGGCACATCTCTCTTTCCGCTTTGCATCCCATTTCTGTTTTAAATGCAGCTGACACCGCAGGTGATATAAAATATGGAAATTATCTTAAAGTGGTTCAGTGAGAATAAAGCCATAATATTTTTCAGTGCGCACGCACACACACACACACACACACACGCACACAGGTAGCACAAAAAATGACCAAGAAGGCATCCAAATTCTATATAAAACTTTAACTAACCACGTTCCACCACATTAATGCACTCAAAATTGTCAAAACACCTGTTAGCGCACTGTGCGTGCGCATGAGCATATCTCTATATTTTGCACTGCAACGCATATTACGGACTACATTATGAAGCTTGTTTTCAAGTGGACATATGTATTTCAACCTTATTTGTATGTCGTAAGGAACATTTTACTTCTACAAAACAAAGGTGTGTACATAGGTATCTTTAATATATTTTGAACTTTTAATAATTATTGTTTTAAAATGTAATCAAATAAATTGTCTGAATCTCCAGGACATGAGAATAGATCCCGGAATGGAGCCAATAATAAAGCATTGGGCCTCATGCAAGGGAATTGCATGCACACGCCTTACACCAGCCCTGAACATAATTTAACTTTCCTTTTTCATTAGTGCCAGGAGAGCAATGCTACTATTTTATTGAAAAGTAAAGTATTTTAAATGGTTGAATTATAGTCCGCATGTTGCAAAGGGCATGGTATCCCCTCTTGCTGTATCAATGAGTGTTTGTACTATAAATCTCTGTCCATAAGGTATCTATGCACCGAGCCTGTTCTTACCCATATGCAGAATATGCAGCTGCATAAGGCAGCTGAAAATTTGGGGCACCACTGGGTCTTAATGCCCACCTACCTGCCTTTTCCTATCCATGTTCTGTGGCTCTGCTTCCTCTGGAGAGGCTCTAGTTAACGGAGAGATGAAAAAGTCTGCCAGATCTCTAAGTGGTAATGAAGCCATTTAGCAGGCAATTGCCAACCCCAGGTATAAACAGTCAGTTTCTGAATGTATTATGTTAGTCTACAGGGCCTTAGTTTAAAATTTCATTATGGAAGGTCTACACTATAGAGGAAGATCAGCTTAAGGAACACAATTTCAGCTTCATAAATATTGTAGCTGGAGTCTACATATCTTAAGCCAAGGTAGGGTGTCGGTGTCATCACTGCAGGAGGTCTACAGGAGAAACACTCCCATTGACCTCCCAATAGCGAGGAGTATTGGCATTGACAGAGTGCCCTAGGTGTTTGATTTAGCATGTCCCTACTAGTCCGGCTAAATCGAATGCCGGAAGATTGACCGCTGCACTGTCTAACTGTCTAACTGTCTAGTCATGTAGATGTGCGTTCAGTGTGCTGCTGAAGATTATAAAATTGCAGCCATTATCCTCCCTGCCCCAGACTGCCACTGGGCATATGGGCACCATTTTAATAGTATTATGTCGGGCCCCTTAAATGCTAAGGGCAGCCCTGTCCATGCAGTCTGATTGGCATGAAAATGAACAGTTCTGTAATAGTAATTTTAACATTAACAGTGATTTTAATATTCAAGAATGTTTGTTTGTTTTTTAAATCTCTCCTGCCATAGATGGTCCATTCAGTTTTATTTTTCAACAAACCAGTGGCTGGGTATTTTTTTTTTTGTCATAAATCTGTTAATTCACCTCATCCAGGAGGCTCACTTTTCTGGTTAGTAATTACTCACTGCTGCATATGAACCTATTATTTCAATAACTGATTTTCACTGTTGGCCTGCACTAGCTGTTCTCTGCTGTAGGGATGTAAAATCCTGTTTAATTGATTAACCAGTTAAACATAATGCTGCTCTTGCCTGGCTGGGCTGGAGCGCCCCCTACCCGCAGCAGATGGGAGCTGCTCCAGCCCCCACCAATTAACCATTCACATCTCTGCTCTGCTGCTAGTCCTCTGATTTGGACCATTTTGTAGAAGTTGAACCAGGCTTCTTGTTGTATTTTCAAGTGACTGTCACTGGAAATGGCTTGCAGTATAGATAAATACCCAATAATAGGTTAATAAATACATTTAACCATATGTAACTTCATAATTCTAAATGAATCATCTGTGGGCCTTAAAAAGCCCTTCAGAAGAGGAAGAGAGAGAAAGAATAGTTAAAGTAATCGCCTTAGACTCAGGAGACTTAGGTTCAGTCCCTGCTGTGGCTTGCCTCAGAATTCCTTTGTGACCTTGGACAAGTCTCTCTGTGCCTCCATTCACCATCTGTAAAATGGATATAATAGTACAGGCTGGACATCTATCATCTGGCACCCTCAGGACCTGACCAGTTCTGAACCTGGGAATTTGCCGGACTAGAGAAGTTTCCCTGCCACAGCCCCCAGCCACTGACTCTGCCAGCTGAGAAGGGGAGGGAAAGGTGGGGTGCAGGGACTGCCTCCAGTCCCAATGGGCTGGTTGCTGGCGCTGCTGCTGCCCCGGACAGACTCCAGCAGCCCAAGCTGCCAGGGACTGGCTCTGGCTCTGGTTGGGTTGCCAGGTGCTGCTGTATGCTCAGGCTCTGGTCCCAGCCTGGCAGCAGTCTGCAGGCTCTAGCCCCACTTCCACAAGCTGTCTGGGGTTCCGGCCCCATGCTGCCATGTGTTGCTGGGGCTGCCACTGGTCCTGGTCCCGTTGCCGTGGGCTGCTGAGAATGCAAGCTCCTGCCCCACGGCATCCCACAGACTCTGACCCTGGCCCCATACTGCCATGGGCTGTCACTGGCCCAATCCTGCATTGCTTGGGCTGCCCCAACCTTGTCCCAGTGCTACTGGCTGTTGGGAGCTGCTAGGGATTGCTGCTGACCCCAGTCCCACTGCTGTAGGCTACTGCCAGCCCTTGCCCCATCCTGTGGCCCCTCCTGGGTTGCCCTCTTGCCATTAGGCTACCAGGGTTCTCTGATCAAGGAACATCCGTGGTCCCTGGACCACAGATGTTGCCAGACCAGAGAATTCCAGTTCTGGGAAGTGCAACCTGTACTTCCCTACCTCATAGGAGTACTATTAAGAATGAACAATAAAAATTGTGCAGTACTGAGCTGCTACAGGAATGGGGGTCATATAAGTATCTAAGGTGGATGGCTTCCTTATAACTGGAAAGTTTGATAGCAATTCCTTGGACAGAAATTTTGTTAGTAGAATGAAATGTTTGACCCATATTTTAATAAATTAATACAAAAAGTATTTTTTCTGTTGTCTCAAGTTGGAATGTCTCTGAATTCAATTTTGTTCTTCCAATATAGATTCTGGATTTTGGACTGGCAAGGCATACAGACAGTGAAATGACAGGCTATGTGGTTACTAGATGGTATAGAGCCCCGGAGGTCATACTTAATTGGATGCATTATACTCAAACAGGTAATGTGTATATGTGGGTGCCGGAATTAACATCCTCTCTCTGAACAGTTTTAACAGCTCTCAGTTATGCCCTGAGTTAAGTAATATGGAGTCATATCTTTGTTCCCTAAAGGGGAATAAAAAATTGATGACGAGAATATGTGAAAATGAAAAACAGGAACTTAAGAGCAAGTTCTCCGTGGTTAAAAAATTTGGATATTCCTTTGTTAACATTAGAAATTAAACTCCAGTATAGACATAGGTGGCAGTGCGCTCTGTTCTTGCTACACACTGTAATCTTTCTGCAGAATATTGTAGATTGTACCTTAACGCCAACTGAAAGGGCAAACCATTCAGCAAGGTGGGGGTACTAAAGAAGCATGAAGGTAGCTGGAGTCCCTTTGGAAATGACTGTCAGTTTGATACTGTGGCATTGACCCTCTCCCTGTGTCCTGGCTGTGAACACCAGTTATTGCAACTTGCTTTTGTAGTCATTTATTTTCTGTATAGAGAATCTACTATATTAATTTGCTTCTTTGAAAAAGTATAATGAACTGAAACTGCCATAGATTTGTGAGGGGACTTATAAATATAATTCAGCAATGTAATGTTACTCTTTATTTATTTATTTATTTTATTTAATTTCAGTTGACATCTGGTCAGTGGGCTGCATTATGGCAGAAATGATAACAGGGAGGCCACTGTTCAAAGGAAATGATCGTATCCTTTCATGTTGAATTCCTGGTAGTAAGATATGAAAAGTGTGTCAGTATTTGTGTGTCACAATGAGTTGGTTTCAGAAATTATGGGCATAATGGTCAATTGAATTCCCACCCTCACCCCTCATTTTCACCTCCCTTTAAACCTTGGCATATTACTGCATGGCTGTGCCTTAGTTTACCCATTTGAAAAATAATGACTAATAATATTGAGCCACTTCATTAGAGGGAAATGAGAATTGAATCATTAATGTTACAGATCACTCTAAGATTCTCAGGTGGGAGGACCTGTGTTCAAAAAAGGGCAAAAATCTTCAATAGCAGGTACCCCAGTTCTTATGTGTGCGCACACAAACCTGATGTGTGAATAGCCAACCCTACAGGTACACACAGAACCCAGTTTAGATATGTGTCTTAGGCTGGGTGCACACACTTCTCACAATTTTATCTGGAATTGTTAGGATCTGGTTAGGAAGGTTCTCCATATTTAAAATAGAATTGTATCATTCATTACTGAGAAAGTAAAACTTAAATGGACTTTAAAAAAATCTCATTACAGTCTAGACATTTTTGACTTATTATTGTTACAAGTAACTTTTGAGATTATAGTCCCTATCCAGGAATTAGAGGTGGACATTTTTTTCTGTTTGTTTTGATAATTGAAAGTGTTTGTGTTTCACTCTTTCTCTTAGATAGGGAAATTTAATGCAGGCTTGAAATTAAATTATGCATAATATTTTGGGGCTTTAGTATGTTTCTTTTCCGCTTATTTGTGTCTTATTCTCCCCTTATCAGGTGAGAAAAACACTTGAAAATACAAGAATGGGATTGCAAACCCCCAAAAATGATGCAGGGGGACTAGAGCAACTGCAGTACCTGAAACTATTTTTAACACTGTAAAAAAAAATTAATTAGATTCAAGTATATGTCCCTTGTTAACTACAAAATACAAAAATATATTTTCCTAAAGGCAGTAGTTAACTAACCAATACTATTTCTGGAGCTGTGCTGACCTCAAGGATGTATCCCTTATGCATACACAAGGAAACAAGTGAGTCACAATTTCAAGATGCAGCAGAAATTCAGCTGTGGAAAACACAGTATTTTAATAATTGTAGAAGTTGAATATTGCACAAGGTATTGGGTAAAGCCCTACAGCCTATTTCAGGGATGGAGAACATCTGGCTCATGGGCCAGCTGCAGTTTGTCAGGGTTAGCCCGCTGGCAGGCATTCAGATGCTTTGTTTACCTTAACATCCACAGGAACAGAGCCCAGCAGCTTCCAGTGATCGTGGTTCGCCATTTCCTGCCAATGGGAGCTCTGGGAAGTGGTGGCTCCGCCCACATCCCTGCCCACAGCTCCCTTTGGCTGAGAATGGTGAACCACAGCCACTGATCTGTGAGCAGCTGTGCCTGAGGACTCTCAAGTAAACAAACTGCCTGAAAGCCCACCAGCAGCTAACCCTGACAGACCGGTTCCCCACATCTGGCCTGTGTTATGTAAGAGGTCAGACTAGTTAATTATAATGGCCCCTTCTGACCTTAAAGTCTGTGAACCTATGTTAGCTGCTGCACAGAGGACACAGAATCTCATTCCAGACCTTTTCAGATAAGCAAAGCAAGAAATATAGTTTTTAGGTTTTTTGTTTTAGGTTCGCAGATTGATTCTGTTGTAAATTTGGTATTAAATCATTTTTAAACATAATTTGTAAAGGTTTTTCAGATTCGTCCGTCATCTCCCTCTGACTCCACAGGTGTTTGAAAGCGTGTTGGTTTTGTATTTGGAGCTCTGCAAGATCAATAGGCAAAGAGGTGGAACACCAGACAAGAGCTGCTTTCTATGGCATCAGCCCATGGAAACCTGCTGGAATCCCTGGAAAAGATAATGCTGGTGCTGAGGAAGCTATACTTCCTTAGACACATATGGTCACTTTATTCCACCCAGGTTGCCTCAGGGTCTGGAATGGAGGAAGGAGAGGAAAAGATATGAAAATCTGTCATGGAGTATTTGTCAAAATTTCAAATTTTTCAAAAAATTTCAACCAGCAATAGTCAGGAAACTGCATATGATGATGCTGGTCACCTTAGTTTCAAGGATAATGTCAACAATCATGCTTTGTACTAATGGATCTGAGTGTGAGTCCACTGACCAGTTCAGGAAGAACAACATTTACCATACAGGCCATTGGGTCATATGCCTAATTGTGCTGATTGAGCTGCACATTGTTTCTGTGCATGCCATAGTGTTTCCAGCTGCTCCATGTGATTCTTCTCAAAGTCGGGGCCATCTACCCTTACGATCAATCACCAATTGTTCAACAGTCGAGTAAGAAATGTTCCTTTTGCATACTTTTTGTTTCAGTGTCTTTGAAGTGTTTCATCTGCCATCCATGCTTACAATTGCCAAATTCAGAATATAAGACTTACTTTAATAGATGGAGATCAGAAGTACATGGCCTGTTTGTCTCATTTGGGCATGGTTCAAGTGAGTCTCAATGCCAACCAAGCCAGCTTTCACCAGGACTTCCTTATTGGAAATCCAGGCCTTCCATTTAACAATAATCATAGATATTGCAGATGGAAGTTGTCAAACTTTTTAATGTGTCATTGATAAGTGGTCCATGTTTTGTACTCATAGAGCAAAGTCGTGAGGACAACAACATTATAGACTTTGATTTTTGTCTTTAGTCGGATTCCATGTTGCTTTCAGATTTGGTGGTAGAGGTGACCATATGCAGTGCTGGCTCTCTTAATTCACACTTCCCCTTTATGACTGACTGTAGCTTCATTTTCAAACATGCCGCCAAGATATTTGCAGCATGATGCCTTCCAACCTTATTGATGAGTCTTGGTAAAATTGTTCAGAATATGACTGGCTAGAATATAACTACAATTTCAATTGTCCATTGGGCTGACAGTGGGACCAAAGTTACAAACTGCTGCAGCAACGCTGTTTGTAAGATGTATAAATATTGATGCTGTTTGTGACATTTTTTCCTGTATTTGTCACATGATGAAAATCATGTCAATAAAGCTTTGCTGAGCACAAAAGCTGCACTGTGATTCAGATAGAACATTGTCAGTGATTTGGGTCAGGAGCTGGTTCAGGAGGATCTGTGCAAGAATCTTCCTGGCCACAGAGAGCAAAGCATATTCAGTATTCACCATAGTTACTGTTTGCGCCTTTTTATGCTTCATAAACAGTGACAGTGTTGGCATCTTTCAATTTTGCAGTAGAATTTCTTGAAATCAGACATATAAGAAAAATTGGAAGAGTTTGTCAGTAAGAATATTTCCTCTGTGTTTTAAACAAGGGTTAGGGCATTTATTATTTTTCATGATTTGAACAGCCTTTAACATTTTGGCTCATGTGAGTGGATTGGCAAGTGCAGTAGATGTGGGCAGTTTAGGGACATTATTTAGTGACTCATCAGAAACAGTAGGTGCACAAATTAAATTGTTCACTAAAATGTTCCCATCACCATTCATGGATGGCAGTCCAATCTGTGATCAAAGGTTCACTATCAGTATTTAATAGCAATATTAGGACAGATCAGGTAGGCCATACACTGATTTGACTGCATCATATAAACTTTTGGAGTAGAGGCATAGCGAGGGTGTTATGCGCCCAGGAGCAAAGACAAAATTTGCACCTGCCTTCCTCAGTCCCCCCGCTCCACCACTATGCTGCAGGGCCCCGAACCTGGCGCACAGCTGAGCCTGACCCTGGCAGAGGGGGGGAGCTTGTATCATGTTTTCCCTTCCAGTTTGGGGCTGGACCCCCGCACACACTAACCCACCAGCGGGGATGGAGGAGGATCGGGCTAGGGGCGGAGAGGCGGGGAAGAGGCTCCAGCTGGTGGCGGTGGGCAGAGGAGGAGCAGGCAAGCCGAGGGATGACAGGGGGAGTGAAGGGAGACTAAATTGGCGCCCCCCTAGCGTGGCACCCAGGGGCAACTGCCCCACCACCATCCCCTCTCGCTACGCCACTGTTTTTGAGTCATGGTTATCAGCAAGAGTGTGTAATTGCTTTGCTTTACAGTCAAAACATGTATTTTGCATTTGGCAGAGTTGAAAGTGGGTAAGCTAACAGCATGGTGTAATGGGGCATTCCACATACTTTATTAAAATATGCTTATGAGTGTGAATATGACATAACTAGAAAAGTACCTCATGTAAGATATCATTGGATTTTCCCATTTGCGTGCATGTATCATCTATGTCGATCAAGTTAGGAATATGGCATATAAACCTGTGTTATTAATGTAGTCATGCTAAGTGAGGACTATTAATGGTACTTCAGGGTTACAATAGCCCATTAGCAAAGAGACAATGAAACTTACCTTCCTTTAGAGGTGTGTGGGTCAGCCCTGGAAGTATAGAGACCAGGATCTTGCAGAAACATGTAACCATGTCACTTGATACTGGAATCCATCTAAAACTATGTACTTTTCCATGAGCATCTGAGAGGGGGGTCAGACTGAAACAATGGGCTCCTACCTTATGCAAATCCTGTTTAAGGGTGAGGAGTGAGGTAATGTAGGTTGTCAGCTCTCCCTGGCTACCCCATCTAGGATAACTGTTGGAAACATCTAAGACTGAACAGTGGAAAAGGACTGGGCCCAGACTGGAAGGGCCAGATTGTAAAAGAAGCTTATTAGAACAACTTTGAGGGTGGGATATTACATGCACTAGTCTCTTTAGTGCAATGGTCTCCAACATTTTTAAGCACAAGATCACCTTTTGAATCTGTCAGTTCAGGATCTACCTCAAACCCAAATACCCCTGCCTCTCTCCTTCTCCGATGCCCTGCCCCACCCCTTCACCAACGCCCCGCCCTCCTCACTCTGTGAAGATGGGGTACAAGAGAGGAAGTGATATCAGTTCCCCCTGCCTCTCTCTCTGTCACCCTGCACAACAAGCAGGATGCTTCGAGGGGGCAGTTCTGAGGCTCTTGCCAGGAGCAGAAAGGCAGTGTGAGGAGGGGCAGCTTAAGTGCTGGCCCTTGATAGCTCCCAGCCAAACCAGTCAGGATCACCTGTCACAGGCTCTAAGATCTACTGGGAGATCCCGATCTACTGGTTGGTGATCACTGCTTTAGTGTATGAAGCTTAGCTTGAGTGTTCTGTTCTGTTTTATTTCGTTTACTATTTTACTTTGTTATGTCTGCTAACTCTTATGTACACTTCAGTCCTATTTTTTATACTAATAAAAATCACTTTTATTAATTAATCGAGTGTAAATAATTGGTACCGGGGCTGGAGGGGAAGCAGTTGTGTATATCTTTCTTTATACCAAGAAATATGAGCTTACTTTTCATAACACTTTATACAGAGTGAGATGGATTTGTCTAGGGTTCAGGTCCCATTGAGGCAATGCATTTGGGTGCTGAGGCAAGTCCCTTTAGCTGAGCTGATCTCAGTGCCTGTATTATACTGCAGAGGGCTGTGGCCCCATCTCTGTGTCAGTGCTGGAGGAGGCCTTAGGACAGAGTTGAGGGGTGTCCACAGGGACAGGAACGTGACTCAGTTGTAATTCAGCACATCATGTGACAGTCCCTAGGGTGTCCCAGCGACTGAATCTATCACACACGGCATGGGCTTGTCACTTGACATCAAAGAGACTCAATATTTTAATATTATTTTAATCAAACTAGTCTACATGATGGTATTTTCATGCCCAGCATCATTCACAACAGTCTTATACATTGTGTCACACAAGGATAGCCATTCGGCAGTTATGTCATCATTGATTATTGGAAGGGTTTCTAAAGCAGAAGTTAGCTGCTCTGTTGAAAATTGCTCGGAAATTGACAGATCATTCCTCCAGGCAGTATTAACAAGTGTGGCTGATGGGGTTTTTACACATTTTTGGCCAGATAGAGCGAGAAAGCTTTGATGGAACAAAATAGTGATCAGTACAACAATCTGCTCTGCATAGTACCCAAGTCATGCAAACATCTTGTGGCTCCCATTGTTGGACTAACACATAATCAATCAGCTTCCAATGACTTGAGCATGGGTGCATCCTGGTTGTTTCATATGTGTTGTAAAGTCAAACCTCTCCTTCCCCCAATGGTATGGGGGAAATATGGCAAAGTAGGGGATTGTAGGACAAAGAATAGTGATGAGATTTGCTTTTGGGGCTGCTATGATAGCCATAAAGGTCTGCAGGGCTTTACTCCAAAACACCCTAGCTAACAGAGCTCTAGCTAGGTGGAACAGGCTTGTTAGTCTGGGTAACTGGGCAACTGCAGTGAGAGAAAGAAGCAACCTATATCCCATAGGTGTATAAACCATTGCAAATTTCCCAGGTATAAGCTACCCAAACGGAAAGAACATTATCTGTCCTATAAAGTTGGAATATATTTAATTTCAGGAGCTTTTGGTGTCCTCAACTTTTGAAAAAGAAGCACAGAGCCTTGAGCTGCATAAATGTAAAGTTTCTCATTTTACTTTTATGTTGTGTGTTGTTTTGATCTCCATTGGCAAGAAAATTGTATAATATTTGTAGGGCTTTTAAAAACTTTGTCACTGTAGAAGGACTTGATTCCTAACATCTGGCATTCAGATCTGGACCAGCTCACAGAAATAATGAAGATAACAGGCACACCAACTCAAGATTTCGTTCAGAAACTACAAAGTCAAGATGTGAGTATGCTGATTGGTATTCTGCTAATATTCTGCATGTTCTAGTTTCAACTGCAAGAAAACTTAATGAAAATCTGTTCTCTGAATCTCATAATAAAAATATCAAATTATTTTTTGGAAACTTTTATTGATTGAGTTTATTTAGTCAAACACAATTATCAAGTAGGCTTAAATCAAGTACATTGCAGTAAGGTAATGGCCTACATTTTCAGAAACATACATTAATTATGGATACCCAACCTGCAATCCAAAAGCCTGATTTTTTTGTAGAAGACTTGAACACCTACAATTTCAGCTGAGGTCAGTTGGAGCTTTAAGTGTTCAACCTGTGTGCAAATCAAGTCCTATCTTAAGGTGGTCACCCAAGAATGGAAGTGTTAAATATATGGCTGGTCATTAATTGCAGTTAAGTCACATGATTAACTAAAAAAAAATCGATTGCAATTAAAACATTAATCATGATTTATCGCAGTTTTAATCACGCTGTTAAACAGTAGAATATCAACTGAAATATATTGCATGCTTTTCTACACTTTATATTTAAAATGAGAACAGGTGTTCATATGGCATTTTCGTAGTCAGCACTGCAAGGTAATTACATGCCAGATATGCTACATTCGTATGCCCCTTCATGCTTCAACTATCATTCAGGTGACATTGTAAATAAAAAGCGGGCAGCATTACGTCCTGTAAATGTGAACAAATTGTTTGTCTTAGCGCTTGGCTAAACAAGAAGTAGGACTGAGTGGACTTGTAGACTCTAAAGTTTTACACTGTTTTGGTTTTGAATGCAGTTATTTTTTGTACATAATTCTACATTTGTAAGTTCAATTTTCACAATAAAGAGATTGTACTACAATATTATATTAGGTGAATTGAAAAATACTATGTCTTTTTTTGCCATGCAAAATATAAAGCTAGAACTGTACACTTTGTATTCTGTGTTGTAATTGAAAGCAATATATTCAAAAGTATAGAAAATATCCAAAATATTTAAATAAATGGCATTGTTAGTGTTTAAAAGTGTGATTAATCATGATTAATTGTTAATCTTTTGATATCCCTGGTTAAAAAATCAGTGATCACTTAAAAATATGCATACCCAAGTGCTTAAAGTTTCTTAAATATATAGCACTAGCAGGTGAGGCCTGTGGTTGACTGGGCAAAGTAATTTTGTGTAGATTACACTTATAAGAAAGTTCAAGAAATGAAATATATGTAATAGATTTTTTTATTAAAGTGTTTGCAGATGTGTAGAATTTCAACTTCAAACATTATTCATTTTATTGAATAATTACCATGCACAGTACATTTGAATCAGAAACTCGTAAAGCTTCCATTACTCTTTTCGTAACTAATTTAAATTATTTTGTGATTTGTAAGAGGAAAAAATTTCTTTGCATTAAAATAACAGTTGACTAGGTGACTCGATTTTAGTTTTGTTAGCAAATGTTTTTTATGAACTGTAATCATAATAGTCATGACTTTCACACAGCATATTCAGGTGTAAAAAATAGTAGCGCATTCAATTAATTTAAATGGCAGGATTGTTTATGCAGAATTTGGTATCTGTAGGTAATTGAAAAGTATGACTCTATTTTGCACAAACCATTCCATAAACAAACTCTTCAAAATATATAGTAGATGTCATCAGCTCTAGATAAATGACTACTACCTTCTTTGAGAGCACACTGACCAAGTTCTTGTGTTTTTAACTTTGCCTTCCCTGCCTCCATATGCACACTTCTACCATTTTAAATGCAACTTAACATATCTGTAAAAGTTAAAAACTTAAGGAATATACCTTAAAAAGAAAGGCCTACTTTTCTAGAGATTTATACCAACTCTCAGTGGGGAAAAATAAATTATAACTCTTTGAATGATGCATATACTTTTCTCAAGCTAAATAATATACTCTGTATAATTAATAACCCTTAGATATTGTTTTTCTCCTTTTTTTTAATACTTGAAAACAAGATATCCTTCAAACAGCACATAAAGACAACAAAGCCCCAAAATGATCTTAAGTCATTAAGTGTATCCATATGCATAACACACTCTCCCAAAAACCATGAAAAATTCACAAAGCAAACATATTGTTAAATCGTATTACATAAAAAGGAAGAAATGTTCTAACCAATGTTCATGTTTCTTTTAAGGCAAAAAATTATATCAAAAGCCTCCCAAAAGTGCAGAAAAAAGACTTTGCAGCTATCTTGAAGTATGCAAACCCTTTGGGTAAGAAAATATGTGTGAGTGTGTACCACTTGTGGTGGTGTGCTACAAATATGTGCCGCAGTTGCTGCTGTAATTGAGGTTTCATTATGGTAATTTAGTACTTGAATAAGCGGGACATAAGCAAAAAGTAGTTTTTGGTGTTGGCCATAACCCAGCCCAGGCTTAAATGTTTTGCTGGATCAGCGTCTAAGTACTAAGAAATAAAATATTGATAGTATAGTTTTCCTATTTTAAAATTGATTCTTCAAGCCCTATTCTGAATAGCTGTACAAAACAAACAGGAGCTGAAAACTGAAGTTCGTCATAAAAATAATCCTTGGTAAGAAGTGTTTTAGGATTCCAGAGAAAATTGGTTTTGATTTGTTAGTTATAAATCTTTCAAGGTAACATACTTAGTATATACAGTACATTATGAATTTTTCAGTAAGATCACAAGGGCCTGATCCAAATCCCATTGAAGATCATGTAAAGATTTCCATGGATTTCACTATGTTTGCATAGCTGAGAATATCAGTGCTGCAAATATACACATAGCTGCCTGACTGCATTAGTGGACTGAAAGTATACTAACCATGTAGATTGGCTCAGATCTATTATTGCAGCCTTCTTCTGCCCCTGGTGCATTGGTTCATAATGGAGTGGGTTTTGTATTGAATTATCACTATATAACTTGACAGCAGCAAAACACTTTGTATTTTTATTTTCTCCTTGCAACAACAGATGTCAATAAAATAAAATAACTCTTCTTTGTAACCATCTGTAATTCTAAAAACCAACAATGTTACAACAGCTTTAACATACAAGTTGGATTCTGTGGCAATATTTGAATGTCCTGTTTGGCTTGTGTTGAACAGCTGTAAACCTTTTGGAGAAGATGCTGGTGTTAGATGCGGATAAGAGAATAACAGCAGTAGAAGCTTTAGCACATCCTTATTTTGAACCAGTTCACGATCCTGAAGAGGAAACTGAGGCAGAGAAATATGATGACACATTTGACAATATGGATTTGCCACTGGATGAGTGGAAGCGTAAGTCCTTTATGGTGGGGTTCAAAAAGAACTAAGCAGAAGTAGGGTTGCCAAATACTTTCACAAAAATACCAAACATGGTGGGGGAAAAAATTGGTTGAGCCAAAAAAAAAAAAAAAAGGGACACTGCACCTTTAAATCCCCACAGATGCGGCAGGAGAAGAATGTCCCATGTGGCCTTCCATCCAAGAAAAACAGAAAATACTGGACATTTTATACGTCCGGTATTTTCTGTTTTTTTGTTTGTTTTTTTTACTGGACAGAGGCTGAAAATATTGAACACCTGGCAACCCTAAGTCATGTCACTTGAAGTCATTAATCTGTATTCACTCAAACACAGAGATTTTTTAAAAATACAGCAAATAATTTCTGATAAACAATTGTATAAGATACTAGTTTACAAAACTAGGCAAGAGTCAGTGCACAGAGTACATCACATAATTTTTCATGCTTTATTTTCCTGTTTCTCCTTTCATAATCTTTTTTCTCTCCTGTCTACATGTTGTATCAATGCATGTTAAAAAAAAGCTGAGTAGCAATTAAGTTGCAAATATAGACCACAGGCCTGATTCTTCATTACCTTGCACCGTGTGTCATTACCTTTGCAGAGTGCAAGATGAGTTTTAAATGCTACCAGGGAGGGTTGCCAGATACTTTCACAAAAAATACCGAACGTGGCAGGAAAAAAATTGGTTGAGCAAAAAAAGGGGGGGGAACCAAAGTTGTTGAGCAAAAAAACAGGAGGGGACCTTTAAATCTCCCCACTGCCCCTGCCAGACGTGACAGGGGAAGACTGTCCCATGCAGCCATCTGTCCAAGAAAAACAGAAAATACCAGATATGTAAAATGTCCAGTATTTTCTGTTTATTTTACCAGGCCAATACTGGACACCTGACAACCTTAAGCTTGGTCTGGTCTGAATGGCAGATGGATGACTCCGTTGCTCTTGGGAGGGAGTTCCCAACCACCACAATCCATCTCCTTTTTTTGGAAGTGGTGATTGTGGAACCCCCATCCCTAGGACTATGCATCCCATATATGCCTTCTGGTCTCCATCGGATCCCTTCCCTCCGAGGTCTCTGCCAAAGTGTTTTCCACCATGGTACCCGTGCAGACAGCCTGAAAGCAGTTACTTATCTCTATCAGGTTTGGGGATACCTGAGTCATGTTTCTTCTCCTGGAGGTCACATGCTGCCAGTTTTCTTCCTGGTTCTGTATTGCCCTCTCTGGGTCTTCAGCATGATTTGCCTGCAGTATCAAATGCTGCCTTCTGTCCAGAAAGTCTTCATTTTCTCCGATGGAACATAGGGTTGATACTTTGTCCTTCTTTAACCTTTTCTTCCAATATGGAGACCCGCTTGCACTTCATACAGACAAAATCACTTCTATCTTCTGGGAGGAATACAAACTTGGAACAGGCTGTGCAGGTCACAACAGCTGATCTTTCGTTATCCATACTGTCTTCTTTCTAAAAGACTCCTGTGCTCACTGGAATGAGGAAGTTGTGGTAATTAGATTTACAGACTATGATGAATTTAAAATAAACTTCAAGAAACGAAAGCAAGTGATAGGAGAACTGGATACTTAGTATGCTAATGTCTCCAGGTCTGTCCCTAGTGGGGCACAGGGACCACGGCAACCCCTCCCCATTCCAGGCCCCACACATACCCCACTTCTTCCCACCCGTGTTCCTTTCCTTCCCTGCCCTCACTCCATCCCTTCCCCTATGCTGCACCCCACCTCCTTCTGCCTGCACTCTGCCCTCTTCCACCCCTCCCCCCTTGTACTGCTTCCCTGAAAGCCCCTCCCAAGAGCTACCTGGCCTGGGGAATTAATGGGGCCTGACATGGAGTGGCAGCAGGGGCCCACCCTCCCTGCACTTCCAGGAAGCACAGTGATGCAGGCAGTGGCCTGTGCTGCTCCACGGCCATCTCCCAGCCGAGTCAATCAGCTTCACCATGGTGGCGGGAAGTGGAGCACAGCAGGCTGGGGCTGTGGGGTTCTGCTTTCCGCTGCCGTGGTAAAGCAGTGCCACTTGCCTGGGAGATGGTGAAGCAGTGCAGGCGCAGTTGTGCATCGTTCCACTTCCTGGGCTCACACCATTGCAGTGAGTGGGGGTTAGCCAGACCCCTGCTGCTGACCCTCACTAGCCTCCCCATCTACCTGGGCCCCGCAGGCTCCCAACAATATGGGGAACTGTCCCGATCCTAGGACAGTCATGGGGCCTTGGGGTAGCTGCCCCAAACTGTCCTAAAGACAGGACAGCTCTGAAAGTCTCATATCAAAACAAGAGAGAGATATCAGTGGTTCCCATACATACTAACCTCCAGTCCTGGAAATTTAAGGCTGCTTTAACCCTGATGTCTAGAAGTCAGAAAAATTGGGATTCAGCTCCTTTTTTCCCTAACAGATTCCTGCCTGCCTGTCCATGACTGAACTCTTTGGTTTACCCTTTTATTAGGAGTCTTTCACAGTATGTTTTCCCGGTAGCTAACACTTTCAGGGTGTGTCTAGACTACAGGCTTTTGTCAACAAAAGTGGACTTTTGTCGACAAAACTATACCTGCGTCTACACTACCACCGAGTTCTGTCGACAGAACTCGGCAGTTTTGTCAATGGCGGTAAACCTCATTCTATGAGGGATAATGCCTTTTGTTGACAGAGTTCTGTCAACAGAAGATGTTATTGCATCTATACTGTCCTTTGCGTCTACATTCTCATGTCGACAGAGCGGCTTGCTTTGTTGACAGAACTGGATGTAGTCTAGACACTCTTTTTCGACAGAAGCTTTGTTGACAGTACCTGTTGACAAAGCCTCTGTCGACAAAAGCCTGTAGTCTAGGCGTACCCTCAGTGTGAGATTGACAACCAGCTAAAGTCCTAAGGTAGCGTCTTTGCTCATTGCTACTAAAGGCTGAGACCGTCTCCTTCAGATGTGATTTGGGGGCTGTGTTTTAGTCCTGATTCTCAAACTTGGGCCCTTCATTTTCAGTGCCCATATTTAGGCCCCTAAGCAAGAGGGCCTGATTTTTATATTTCTGTACGCACCAAAAGTTATTGAAGATAATGCCAGTTGAAGGCACAGCACTGACAATTAGGTCATTTATTTAGGTGCCTAATTGTATGCATTAATTTTAGACAATTTGTACCGTAGCTCTTTATATGTTTTCTCTCTCATCTGTGTCACATTCGCAAATAGATAACATTCCAGCCATTTGGGGGTTGGCTCCACACTTCTGTCCGTGAGGCTCCCTTTATGAACATACTAGCAATGCTCTCTCTTTCTGTTGTTTTTCAGGCATTACCTATAAAGAGGTACTAAACTTCAAACCACCTCCCCTGCCTGAGTCAAAGGAAACGGCAGTGTAACTGTATGAACCATCTCTTCAAAAATCAAAAGAAGGAGAAAAGGTGTAAATGCTTGTGATAACTCAGTTGTACAAACCTTTTATAAACTGGATGTAACTTGTTGTATCTGTATTGTAAGGAATAAGTGTGTTTTAATCTAAACAGGAAGCTAGTGCCTTTAGAAGTAGCATTTCAAGACTGTCTGGAAACTCACCTCTACCCAAATTTTCTCATCTTTTTGAGTGCATTTATGGTTTCATTTAATCAAAGTACTCCTCAAAATACAAGGGTTTTCATGAATGTGTTTTTAGACCAGGTAATGCTTGTTCAAGTCACAGGATTATAGAGAAATAGTTAATACCTTAAACAATCTGAGGCTAAATGGAGAAATGTTTCCTCTTTCACTATAAATATGAACCTCTGGAGCCAAGCCCAGAAGGCATCAAAGGGAGCATGCCAGCTTCCCTCTTGGTTCTTTCCTTCCTGCAGAAGCCAAGTTGAGGATGACCTACAGATTGGGAGGGGATGAAAATGATGCCGGGCAGACTCTGAGGGGGTGTACACAAGAGGCAGCAGTAGCAGTCAGGGACACCCATGGCTATAGGGGTACGTCAACAGAGCATCATTATTTCAAAATAACTTAGTCTGCGTCTACACATCAGGCAGTTATTTCAAAATAATGTTGAAATACTATGAGAACTTCTTACTCCGACTCCTGTAACCCTCATTGTATGAGGAGTAAGGGAATTCAGAGGAAGAATGCTCTATTTCAAAATAAATGCTGTGTAGACACTCCCAATTTCAAAATAAGCTATGCAACTGATGTAGTTCAGCTGTGTAGACGCACCCAGGGCTGGATTAAGATCTTTAGAGGCCCTAAGCACTAAAAAGATTATAGTGCCCCCCATATGTAATTCAAAATAAAAACAATACTATACTGTAAAATCTCTTTTTTTTTTTCTTTTTTTTTGGTGCCCCTGCTTTGCTGGTGCCCTAAGCATGTGCTTAGTCTGCCTATTGGATAATCCAGCCCTGGATGCACCCCAACGGTATGTCTATACTAGCCCCCTAGTTCGAACTAGGGAGGCTAATGTAGGCATTCGAAATTGCAAATGAAGCCTGGGATATAAATATCCCGGGCTTTATTTGCATGGTCCCGTCCGGTCGCCATTTTGAAATTCCACTAGCCCGAAGTAACTGCCCGCGGCTGCACGTGGCAGTGAAACGGTAATTCAAATTAAGTCCTTAGTTCGAATGAACTGTTACTCCTCCTGGAATGAGGTGTAACAGTTCATTCGAACTAAGGACTGAGTTCGAATAACCGTTTCACTGCCGCGTGTAGCTGCTGTCAGTTACTTCGGACTAGTGGAATTTCAAAATGGCGACCGGACGGGAACATTCAAATAAAGCCTGGGATATTTAAATCCCGGGCTTCATTTGCAACTTCGAATGCCTACATTAGCCTCCCTAGGGTAATGCCTACATTCCTAAGAGTGTTAGTAGGGGAATGGGTAGAGCCACAAGTGGTCCTGATTTCCAGTAAATTCCTTAGGATCCACAGAACTTCCCTGCAACTTCTCCAGGGTAGTAAACTAAGAAGGGGGATAGGACACCTTGAAAGAGATGTTTTCTAAACAACATTGTTGTTTAGCATGCACCAGATAAATCCATTTTAAATATTACAGTATTTCCTTTCTCTTCTAAATAAGTTGCTCTCACTTTATACAGTGAAATAGAGGTTCCTAATTTCTAGGGGGAGATTGTGAGGATTTATACATCCTATAAGCTTTGTAATTTCTGCACAATTTTGATGTGGTGATTGAAAGTGTACCTGGTAATAGGGAAGGGGGAAGTCAGTGTGCCAATATGAGTTACAAATAAAGCTACATGCAAAACATCACATCATGACAAAAGGGATGGGGATAATATTTTTATTATTCTTTTGACCTGCAGTTAGATTTTTTTATATAATACATAAGCAGTATTAGGTGTACAGTACTAATTATTTTTAATTATTATCATTATCTCATTCTCATGTGAAAAATAATGCCTTGACAGAAGGTAGAGTATCCACAGGAGACATCTGCCTGATGGCTTACTTTGGGATATTGGTTAGAAGCTTTTACAGGTTCTTCAGCTGTGTTCTTCTCTTGCACTTTCCTAGCTGCCTTGTTCATAATCTCACGGGAACAGAAATGGAAATTGACAAATCTTTGTATGTGTTTTTATGGTTAAAGCTTATCTCTTTAAAAACTGAATACTTACATAAAGGTTACTCCCACTACATTGTACTGCTTTGTATCAGTGCCAAGTGGAATATCTGTGGAAAGAGACATTTGATCTTAGCAGCTAGTAACTAGAAAGGAACCCAGAGATGGCTCAGTTGACTTTTTACTCAGTAATCATTTTAAACTGAAAGGTTTCTTCAACTCAGCTTTAATGACTGTTTAAAATAAAGCTGTATAAATAGCAGTATCTAGCAGGGAAGTATTGGTGATGAACACTGAAAAGCCAGAACTGATAAATGAAGAGAGGAAGTCATGGCTAAAACCCTGCAATTTTATGCATGCATAAATAAGCCTTTAAAAAACGAACATGCATAAAAAGAAGCAGCAAACGCAATCTGGGCCCTGGTCTATACTAGGGAGTTATTTCAAAATAATTCCCCTTATTTCAAAATAGCAAGCTAAGCATCCACACTAACAAGCCTGGTATGTGAAAACACTAACTCCTGGGGTGTGTCTACACTGCACCGTTATTTCGAGATAACTAGCATTATTTCGAAATAACCATGCGAGCGTCTACACAGCCATTCCGTTATTTTGAAATAATTTGAAATAACGGATAGCTTATTCCAAAATCTGTAAACCTCATTCTACGAGGAATAACGCCTATTCCAAAAATAGCTATTTCAAAATAAGGTGTGTGTAGGCGCTCCATTGCTGCTATTTCAAAATAGCCCCTCACTTGTGCCATTCTAAGTTATTCCTCCCCAGTGCCTTTTGGGGCTTTAAATTGAGATAGCACATCTACATTAGGGAAGCCTGCCTCGGACTAATTTTGAGGCTTCCCAGCAGTGTAGACATGCTATTTCGAAATAAGCTATTTTGGAATAACTATTCTGGAATAGCTTATTTCAAAATAAATTTACAGTGTAGATGTATCCCTGCTTTCCACGAGGAATAATGCTTATTTTGAAATAGTTATTTTGAAGTAGTGGTAGGCTATGTCTAGACTGCAAGCCTCTTTCGAAAGAGAGCGTCTAGACTGCACCTTGAACTTTCGAAAAAGCGGCTTGCTTTTTCGAAAGAAAGCATCCAGTGAGTCTGGATGCTCTCTTTCGAAGAAGCCCTATTTACATTGAAGAACTCCTTCTTTCGAAAGAGGAACTTTCGAAAGAAGGCGTTCTTCCTCGTGAAATGAGGTTTACCGCCATCGAAAGAAAAGCCGCGTTCTTTCGATTTAATTTTGAAAGAACGCGGCTTGAGTCTGGACGCAGGGGAAGTTTTTTCGAAAAAAGGCTACTTTTTTCGAAAAAACCCCTGAGTCTGGACACAGCCGTAGTGTGTAGTGTGGACACTCCACAGCTGCTGTTTTCATTCAAAGTAATTATTCCCAGTGCTTCCTGGGGCTCTAAATTGAGGTACCGCGTCCACATCAAGGGAGCCTGCCTCGGACTAATTTTGATTCTTCCCTGTAACATGGACACTATTTTGAAAAAGTTATTCAGAGTTATTATTTCAAAGTAAGTTATTTTGAAATAACTTCCTAGTGTAGACATGCCCTAAAAGAAAACCTTTAGCATATAAGACTGAGTAATGCACATGTTGGGAATCAATATTTCATTTTGCCACTACTGTTTGCGCTAACCTGAGCTTGGTCCAATTTTATTAAAGAAAATAAGTGTTTTGCCATGCACTTCAAAAGACACAGGATCAGGTCCTTTAATATCTGAGACCTTCTATTTATGAAAATTGTGGGCCTGTTCCAGCAAGGTGCTAAGAGCAAAACATCTTCAACTCTCACAGAAGGAAATGGCATTTAAGGGTGCTTGATAGAACTAGTCAAGAAAAACGGGACAAACACTTCAATGCATTTTTCAAAGTTTGTTCCTTTATATTTTAAAGAATAAATTTCAAAATTCTAAATTTCACCAAACTTTTAGAAATTTTAAAAATTCCTTCTTACACTACAGCTGGTGAAATTTCAGGATGAATATTTTGTGAAAAATGTTGATTAAATTTTCCCTATATGTGTGGGTTTTTTAAATTTCTTTGAAATTTGGAAAATGCTGAGCAATTCTAGTGCTCAACACTTACTAGGATCATGAAATATCTCCTTCATTAGGGTACCTCTAGACTGCAGGCTTCTTTAGGAAGAGGCTTTTCCGGAAGAGATCTTCTGAAAAAACTTTTTATGAAAGAGCATCCACACTGCTAAAGCACATTGAAAAATTGATCTGCTTTTTCGGAAGATAGTGTCCACACTGAATTGACGCTATCTAGCATTTAAGCTGTGATTACTATGGATGGAGAAGCCACCAGGGCACCTGTGCTTTTTCCTCTTCCAAAAAAATTCCCTCTTCCATGTCCACACACACCTTTTTCCGAAAGAGCTCTTTTGGAAAAGGCATTCTTCCTTGTAGAATGAGGTTTACCAATCTCTGTTCTTTGGATTTTCTTTCAAAAGAACGCAATAGCAGTGTGGACATAAGTGAAGTTTTTTCGGAAAAACAGCCGTTTAAAAAAAAAAGACACACCCTCAGAGAAAGACTTTTGCCTCTCAACTTACCGTGATTTCTAAATGTAAAGGTGGACAGGTATAATAAGGCATAAGCAAAGTAATTTTAATTATTTTATCTAAAACAACAGTGAATATAGGACTTTCTTATTTTTAATCTTTTATAAAAAAAGATGTTGCCAAGAAGATATTAATGAAATATACAGACTTCTGAGCGTATCAAAGATACAGTAGATGATGCAATATTATGAGAGCTTATGTCAAATGACATGACAAGGGATCATAGAGTTAACATAAGCAGGAAGTAATATCTCTGCATCATAGATCCTCAGAGAGCTTAAGATAAGAAAAATTGCTGAGGAGAGCAATAGGAGTGATTAATATGAATAGCTTATTAAAAGAAATGTCAGTGTGGCTCAAAGTACACTTTGTGTGATACAGCTGCTGATTCTAAGGGGGAGGCAAAGTTTCATAGGTTTTTATTTGCTATTTCTACTGGTGCTAGGCAACTCAGGAATAAGAACCCAATTTCTGTTTGCCTTAAGGAGAAATGTAAATATGATGTGCATGTACTCAATGTGTATTGTGAAAAATAAACTGTTTTTTTTAATAATAGTGGTCTCATTTTCCCACCTCTCAACCCCACACACAAACTAGCTGTATTGTTGATGATGTCTGGGTAAAATATTTTTGGTGTCAAGAAACTGTATGAAATCCAGTATTATAGATATATTCCATTTTAATATGAGATCATGCTTTTTTATTTGGGAATGAAATAAAGCCCATAGATTTTAGCCTCCCCCACTTCAGTGCCCAATACAACATATCAACCACACAAGGTGACTGAGTATAGTTGTTGCCATCCAGGTATTCTCAGTCTTTACACAAAAATCATGGCTTTGTTCTGCGGGGCAGGATTTCAAGATCTAGGCATAAAACCATTCCCAAACCTGATTAAAGAACTGTT